AGTCGCACATGCTATTCGTGATAAAGAGGCGCATTGAAGACTCTTTTCTTTGTATCCGGGATTATTCAAGTCAATTGTCACCCCAGCCGAGTGGATTAGTCCCTGGGGTTACCTTGCACCATGGTTACACCTGCAGGCCGTGTGCTATAGTCCCACAACACTGACAGGGTGAAGCCGTTGGGGGCCAACATCGACACCATAAAGTTGTCATGAGACAAACGAGACTTTATAGCTGCACTTTGATTTATTATTTAATTATGCATTGCTATTTTAAACAAATTGTGTTTGGCTTTAAATATCAGAGATGAAATAGGTTAAAGGCATAAAATATGGCTAAGATCTGTAGACAGGTAGACTATAAAAATTACAAAGGAAGAAACAAACTAATTTAGTTATAAAACACTACTATAAAAAGCTTTCTTTGTAAAAAGCTGTTTGCTTTCTGGTATTTCTCACAAATTATATCGTGGTTCTAGTTCAGAGGTCTAGTCAGCAAATGTTTTCTATCAAATAGGTGGTAAATTAGGCTTTGTGGGCCATACAATCTCTGTCACAATTACTCAGCACTGCTGTTGTACCTTGAAAATAGCCATACATGAAACGTATACACACGGGCTTGGCTGTGTGCTAATAAAATTTATTTGCCAAAACAGGTGGCAGGCTGGCTTTGAAGAGAGGGCCCTAGTTTGCCAATCTCTCTTCTGTGCCAGCACTGTCCAACAGAAATACATTGTAGGCTGGGCTCAGTGGCTCACGCCTGTAATCTGAGTACTTTGGAAGGCTGAAGCCAGCCGATCACCTGAGGTCGGGAGTTTGAGACTAGCCTGACTAACATGGAGAAACCCTGTCTCTACTAAAAATACAAAATTAGCCTGGCGTGGTAGCACATGCCTGTAATCTCGGCTACTTGGGAGGCTGAGGCAAGAGAATCTCTTGAAACCGGGAGGTGGAAGTTGCGGTGAGCTGAGATCATGCCATTGCACTCCAGCCTGGTCAACAAGAGTAAAATTCCATCTCAAAAAAAAAAAAAAAAAAATCACAAACAAACAACAAAAAAAAAACAATGTGAGCCACATGTCAATTAAAATTGTCTAGTAGCTACATTAAAAAAACAAAACTAATTTCAACATGTAATCAATATAAAAAAACTATTAATACAATTCCTTTTTGTATTAAGTCTCTGCAACTGCTATGTATTTTACACTGAGAGCATATTATAGTGGCTGCCACACTGGACCGTATGTTCTAGAGCTTCCATGCAAGGATTTCTCTAATTTGGAGGTTAGTGACACATTTCAGATTGGGTTCTTGAAAGACAGGGGATATGATTAATATGTCCCTGGGAAGCATGGGATGAAATATTTGCCCTTGGTCACTTTCAACCGAAGTGGCCCAGAATTCTAGGGCACAAATTGATAACCAGACCCACAATACAGTCAGATGATGTTAGCTTCAATTGTCAGTGCAACAGATATAACATCAACATCTATCTGTATAGACGACAAAATTATCAAGGTGTGAAAACATCACTGTAGTTTTTGGCCCTCACTAAAGAATGCTAATTGTCAATAACAACTAGTCTTTAGCACTTTGACTACATCAAGAATTGAAAGCATATAAGCGTGTCACATTTGGAAAAGAAACTGAACTGAGTAGCAAGGAAAAAAGCTTCAAAATTATACTGAATTTTTAAAATGACTTAAAAAACCTTTTCAATTTATCTTTGTCTAACAGTCTAATGCTAGTCAGCAACAAATTAACAAGTTCTCAAGATAGCCTTCGTTTAATCCTTGGGAAGCTTTAAATTATTTAAATGCGACTTTCTAAGCAATAAAGTGTTACCATTTCCAGGAAATGAATGGATACAACCTGTGGTTAATAAAAGTTAGAGGCAAATTTTTTTTAACAAAAAATTTATTACCAAAATACAATATTAAAGTCAATACATGACAAACTCCTGTAAAGCAAAATAAATTATTCTAACATTGTACAGTATTTCCAAAGGTAGTTAAAGAAGCACTACAGACCTTGCCTCACTGTTCTGAACAGATGAACTGTTCTACCATGAACACAATCCTAGAGTTTCAGCTTTAAGGCATGCAGCTCGATGTGCAGGATAATTTTACAAAATGCAAATCATCCTATTTTAATAAGATACAGTGTCAGAATTAACTGTAGTCTTTACATGTCAGTATTCCAGAAATTTTTATACTTTGGCTATAGAAGCAATGCCATAGTGTTACACAATACTTATTTCTTAAAAAAATACATCTATTCATGTCCATGAATATCAAACACACATTTCTATTAAATATATTTTATCGAATATTACTTAGAGCACCTTGCTGTACAATTTAAAAAGATTAAATAAGTGTCTATGAAAACTAAAAATACAGTAAGTCTCAACAGGAAAGCCTGCTTGCCTTTGTCAAGCCAATTACAGCACGGAAAGGTGCAATGTAAACATGGATGCCCACCATTTGCTTTGTGAGAAAAAAATCAGAAAATAATTATGAAGCCACCAGCAGCCACCTTTAACAGGAAGAAAGATCCAGAGCAAAGGCTTGGGTCGGTGTCACAACATTGCACTATCTGGCCAACGAACTTGGACTACCAATCACATATAATATTAGCGTGATACTGTTGGAACACTGGGACACCTACCGTATTCTGGATGAGTAGCGGAAGGGAGAAAATGATAGAGCCCTGAAAAGTATTCTTTATAATGATCAGAATGCATCATCTTCCCCCTCCCCACCTTTGTCATATACAGTTTCTTTTCAAAGCTGTTTTCACTATCACATCTAAGTGTTCAGAGCAGAAAACAAATACTATCAGCTTTGTCTAATAAGGAGTCTAATACCAATAAATGTTATTCCTATGAAGTAATTCTTACTGAATTTTTTTTTTTTTTTTTTTTGGAAACAGGACCTCATTCTGTCACCCTGGTTCGAGTGCAATGGTGCTGTCACGGCTCACTGCAAGCTTCCACCTCCCAGGCTCAAGCGATCTTCCCACCTTAACCTTCCAAGTAGCAGAGACTATAGGCACATGCCACCTATGCCTGGCTCATTTTTGATTTCTTGTAGAGATGGGGTCTCCCCATATTGCCCAGGCTGGTCTTTTTTCTTGTTTGTTTGAGACAGAGTTTCACTCTTGTGGCCCAGGCTGTAGTGCAATGTCGTGATCTTGGCTCACTGCAACCTTCACCTCCCAGGTTCAAGCAATTCTCCTGTCTCAGCCTCCTGAGTAGCTGGGATTACAGGTGCCTGCCACCACGCCCAGCTAATTTTTGTATTTTTTTTAGTAGATACGACGTTTCACCATGTTGGCCAGGCTGGTCCTGAACTCCTAACCATAATCCACCCACCTTGGCCTCCCAAAGTGCTAGGATTACAGACGTGAGCCACCATGCCTGGCCTGCCCAGGCTGGTCTTAAAACTTCGGGACTCAAGCAGTCCTCCAGCCTTGGCCTTCTAAAGTGTTGTGATTTACAGGTGTAAGCTGCCATGCCCAGGCTACTGATTATTTTAATAGCTATCTCTTTTACAATTACAATTGCATAATCTTCATTATTACTTTTAGAAAACTCAATTGTTCTTAGTAGACACATTGTTAACTTAAGCCTTGCCACAAAATGTTAATGGGAACGTACAGAACCTCCTTGATACATGCTTTCTCTTACTGGCCAGGAGAACGCTTTTAAGGACAATTCTAAGGCCAGAATCAGATGAAATTTGAAAGGCTCTGAACTTCTGGGTTCGTTTTCCCCATGAGGTGGGGAAATTTTAAATCCATGAGTCCAAGTGGAAAAATCTAAGTAACGATCAATGCAATTAGTTTAAAGAACTTAAAAATTCACATCATTGAAATTTTGGGGATTCTTTTCATTATTAGTATTTCCAAATATTATACAAAACTAAAGCCAAGGAAATTTTATAAAACAAAATTCTTCTAAGGTTGTTAATTTCAGAATAACAGATTTTTATAACAAAATACTGAGTCATTGTACCAGCAATGATAAAACTGACTTACAATGAGTGGCAACAGTAATAATAATGAAACTATTTTAAATGTTTTATTTGAATTTAAAATTAAAATGTTTCAATTCTGAAAAAAGGAGAAAATGAATCTAAGTCCACATACAGTGGATTTGGGGAATATAATTTAGTATATATATAATCCATTTCATATTTTTAAAAACCACATACCAGAAATGGATTAACTTGCATAAATAAATTAAAGCTACCTAAATAAAAAAGCTATAAAGTTACAATCATTTATGTTTGTTTAAATATCACCAAAATGAGATGAGAAAGAAAAAAAAAAACCCAACAAATCAGACAATGTTTCAAGATGCCTGGCCCCACTTAAATAATTCCTAATAATTTTATAAATATTAATCTAATCATACGTGGACTTTAGGAACAGAATTCTTCCCTAAAACATGCCTACAGAGTATCCCATTGGAAAACCTGTTTTCAGTGTTCAAAGCTGATCGGTCACAGCCTCCTCTCAGGTGTTAGAAATCAATATTCAGATATTCGGAAATAGCACCATGAGGATGGTGCACGGAAGAGCGCACCGGCCTTTTCACCTGTAAGCAGAATTTACTTTAACAAAACAATGCATAAATAAGTAATCAGGACTACAAAAACAAAAACACCCTGTTTTCTTCACTCTTGGAAAGAATTAAAATATAAAATGTGTAATTAATAAGAATACATCTAGTTGACGGTGAGTTTTAATGCTAAAGCACTTTGCGTTGGTTTTCCATGTGTCCTATCACACTCTTAACAAAATAGAATTTTCCAGAGAGGAGGAATCCTATAGACTTGCCAAATGCTGTTTGTTATTAAAATGTTTACAAACAACCTGAATTTTTGCTGTATTTTAGTCATATTTGGATATATTCCACTTCTGCTAAATATAAGTAAATTAAATATACCTCAGGAAGGAAAAGTTCAACACAGCAGTACTTATTTTCAGGAGCTTCTAAATTTCACCCCTCATCCCTTAAGGGATTTTTGGAAATAATTCAAACTATTTCCAATATCCAATGATCAAATGTAAATTTTCATACATTGTTTCTTTCACATACTTTCAGATAACAAGCATGGTCTCATTTAGCAGAGAGTATTAGAAGGTCTATGTACTATTGAGAAAGTATGCAAAGTTCTGACAGACACTGAAAAGAACCTCTGAGAACACTCAAGACAATTTAGCATTACTACAGATTGAGATCTGGTTTGAGTCTGGTGGGAATTCACCTGTTTCCTCATTTGCCCACAAAAAGTCACGGTAAATTTAAGTCAATACTTTACTTCTTAAAGGCCTATTTACAATCTGGTTTTGAATTTGGAGGTCTGTCTGCTTTTCTTTCTTTAGTAAGGAGTAAAGGAACACATCCTAGATTAAGTAAATTTCTACCAATTTAGGGATTTCAGTAGATCATTTCAAAGCCCTCTAATTATGTTTCATTGTTGACTTTGTTGGTGACACTGAAAAAACCCCTCCCAGAACTGTCTCCCATTCTCACTGGAGTCTCCATGTCAGAAGTGAGAAGAAAACGAAGTTCTGCCTAAGACTGTGACACTTTATAACTTTTAGAATAGTTCCTGAAAAGCTCTTTCTTAACTCTTTTGCTTGCATTTCTATACTACATAAGCTTTTATTAATAAATACACTCAACACTAAGAAGGGGTAAAAGAGAGTTAATATTGTATTACACTTCTGCTTCCTCTTCGACCCACTCCCCCTCACTCAAAATACTTAAGTATCATTACTGCTCGTCCATTTGGAATTCCTTTTATTACAAGTTCGGTTCCAAAGTCACATCTGTCACTTCCTCAAAAATCACATCAGCGATTTCTTCTGTGGCTAGGTTGTTTGAAGCGCAAAGGTGAAACTGGTGAAGGAATCCTCTTCTACGGCTTTCCTGTTTGAGTAATTATTCCATCTAATTTGTGTTTAGAGCTGTGTTGTGGTCCTTATTCAGGATGATGTTTACAATTTCACCCTCGTGCTCTTTCATATGATCCAAGAGGTTTTCTTTGCTGGTTGATTCAAAACCACAAATACAACAGCAGAATAGTAAAACGCAGTACTCCATACCAGGAGGGGCCAGACTGGAGATTTTTTCTAAACTATATGAGGTATTACTTGTAGGGCTCAGTTTCTCATTCTCATTGGGACCCAGAACTTCACTGGGAGTCTGGGGAATCAGTTCTGAAGATGATACTGCATTTTCTGAACTTCCAGTGATGGGATCCGTGCTCTCTTCACTGTTCTTTAATTGAGTCTTTCCAGGGGATTTCCCTAGAACTCTTAAAAAACAAAACAAACACACCACACCATGAGGAGGCTATAATGCAGGACTAGCAGATTTAATCCTGGATTTAATTTACATATAGTAATAAAGGGAGGGGGTAGATGAAATACCTGCCACTTTGTGAAATCGCATCATTAATAGCCTTGTTTACTTGTTCATAGTTATAATTTTGGTCACTCGCATGCTTCCACATATGAGACTTCAAAGAAGGAGGATGGCCACACACATACCCACACAGAGCGCATCTGAAAGGCAGGCAGGCACAGGGAAAATCAGATGGTCCCATACCATCGCTGAAAAATTATCATGATTCTGTAACAATTATTATATCCCTTCTTCTGAACCCTTATTATACATAGCGTATTGCACTGAATCTAAGATGTTACTGATTCTAAGAGGTACATTGATTTCTAAGAGGTTCATTGATTTCAGAATGGATGTCCTAGAATCAATGAAAGGTGTTTTATAGTATAAAGAATTAATAAGAATCAAGACAAACATTCCAGATTACTTTAACTATTACAATATTTGGAAAGATTTCTGATACAGTAATACGCACAATGTTTGCTCTGAATTATTTAATCACGCACATAAAGAAAACTTACAAAATTAATACCTTATACAACTCTACTGCTTAACCGAGAAAGCAAAAAGAAACGAAATGATTTTCAACATGAACTCTGCACTCTTTATAGACTCCCAGAAAATGGCTGCAGTTGTTTTGAAAAAGCTTCAACAATTTAGATTTAATAAATAAAACAAATAATAGTCTTAAAATGTTTCTATTAAAAAACGTAATTGTTCCACATAGTTGGGTACACTTGGTAAAATCTGAATTTAACAAAGAAGGATTTTTTTTTTTTTTTTTTTTGAGACCGAGTTTCGCTCTTGTTACCCAGGTTGGAGTTCAATGGCGCGATCTCGGCTCACCGCAACCTCCGCCTCCTGGGTTCAGGCAATTCTCCGGCCTCAGCCTCCTGAGTAGCTGGGATTACAGGCACGTGCCACCATGCCCAGCTAATTTTTTGTATTTTTAGTAGATACGGGGTTTCACCATGTTGATGGTCTCGATCTCTTGACCTTGTGATCCACCTGCCTCGGCCTCCCAAAGTGCTGGGATTACGTGAGCCACTGTGCCCGGCCCACAAAGAAAGATTTTTAGAAAATTAATAGCCTTTAGTTTTTAGATGCCTTTAGGTTTACAGAAAAAACTGGTCAGATAGTACTGAGTCCTCATATGCCTCCTCTTCCCCTGTACCCAGTTCCTCCCATTAACGCTGGTGTGCTCTACTTGTTATAAATGATGAAGCTATACTGATACTTTTTTATTAATGAAAGTCCATAGTTTACATTAGGGTTCACTATTTGTGTTGTACAATTGTTTTTGTTGTTGTTTTTTGAGACAGGATCTTGCTCTGTTGCCCAGGCTGGAGTGCAGTCTTGCTTTGCCATGTTCTTGTTTCACTGCAACCTCTACCTCCTGGGTTGTTCAAGCTATTCTTGTGCCTCAGCCCTCTAAGTAGCTGGGATTAAAGGCAATGCACTACCACGCCCGGCTAATTTTTGTATTTTTGGTAAAGATGGGGTTTCACCATGTTGACCAGGCTGGTCTTGAACTCCTGGTCTCAAGTGATCCACCCGGCTCCCAAAGTGCTGGGATTACAGGCTCACGCCACCATGCCCAGCCAATTCTGTTTTGACAAAGGTATACTGCCATGAATCCACCACTCCAGTGTCACATGAATAGTTTCACTGCCCTAAAAATGCCCTGTACGCCACCTTTTTATCCTTCCTTCCTGCCCCTGAATCCCTGGCAACCATTGATCTTCCCATTGACTACATAGTTTTGCCTTTCCCAGAATGTCACATAATTGGAATAATAGCAATATGCATGTACACTTTTTCCATGTCTTTCAGGGCTTGATCATTCTTATCACTGAGCATATTCCATTGTGTGGATATACCATTGTTTGTTCACTCACCTGCTGAACAATATCTTGGTTGCTGCTGGTTTTTTGCAATTACGTATAATTGCTGATATGAACACTGATGTGCAAAGTTGTTTTGCTTTGTTTTTGAGACTGGGTCTTACACTATGTTGCCCAGGCTGGAGTGCAGTGGCGTGACCATAGCTCACTGCAGTCTCAAACTCCTGGACATAAGCAATCTTCCTGCCTCAGCTTCCCAGCAAGCACAGGTTTTTGTAAGGATAAAAGCTGTCATCGTTTGGGCAAATACCTAGGAGCATAATTGCTGGGCTGTATTGTAAAACTGTCATCTTTTTAGGAAATTGCAAATGCACTTTTCCAAAGACATTTTTGTTAAATACTTAATTACAAGCCTAACAAATCAGATAACTTATCTGAACTCCTTCCTACACCAATAAGAGACACAGTCAGCAATAACAAGGCACAAAGAAAATCAAATGACATAGGAGTAAACAAAGCAATTAAATACGGGCAGACTAAACTCTTATTCTGACCCACCTCCAATTTAACTTTTTGATAGCATGCAGGAGTATTTTTTTATTACACACCCTGAGGAATCAGGTCCAAGGCCAAGGATCTCTGATCTCAAGAAACACCAGCCCACTTACAGGCAATACGAAGGCAGTTTTTTTTTTTTTTTTTTTTTTCTTTAGACAGGGTCTTGCTCTGTTGCCCAGGTTGGAGTGCAGTGGTGCGATCATGGCTCACTGCAGCCTTGACTTCCTGATCTCATACTCCCAAAGTGCTACGATTACAGGCATGAGCTACCATACCCAGCCTAAATAGGCAATTCTTGATAGAATTTCCAATAAATTCAACTATATGAAAAGATGTTCAATCTTACTAACAATCAGGGAAATGTATCACACCCATCAGACTGGCAAAGATAAGTACATCTGAAAAGATGTGGGATCTGATAAATCTGGTAAGATTTTTCACAGATGTGGAAAAATGGAAATGTACAAATTGTATGTATGGCACTCTGAAGAGCAATTTGGCAGTATCTACTAAGGCTTAAGTGGCACACACCTGTAGCCCCACAAATCCGGTGTTCACAAGGACAGACATACATGAACCATCCTAGTCATGAACAGCAAAAAAAGGATACAAACCACAGCCACTATTTTTCCACAAGGATATGGAAACAAATGGGTTTATGTTCATATAGCAGAATGTTATAAAGTGGAAACAACAACAAAACAACAACAACAAAAACACACACACGCAAAAAACCCACGAGATCTACACTTAGCACCAGGAACCAGTGTCAATAATGATCAGTGAAAAGAAAAATAAAAAGATCTGTTAGGTCATAATTTAAATAAATTGTTAAAACACCAAAACCAACAGTATGTATTGCTTAACACATCCATATATATGTATATATGCACACATATATGTTACATACATAGAAAAGTGATTCATGAATGCCTGAAATGATACACATCACTATCAAGACAAGGGGTTGCCTCTCAGGAAGAAGGGGTGAAGAAGTAAGAAAGTGAGGCTTTAGCTATATTTACAATGTTTTATTTCTTCAAAATGTAGTAAAATATTTGATGTTTCATTATTTAAATATTTAAAAATGTGCTTCCCTATTCTCTTTCAGCTTGTATAGCCTGCATTCCCCTTAAGACTTTATTACAGCTGGCATGATCAAACAGAATCATTACATTTCATTCCTGATTAACTACAAAAAAACTAACCTTAATTCATTTTATTTTGTCCATTTGTATCTTAGATGCAGCAATTTTTGGACAAACCTCAATAAATCTATAGTATTTCACTAACATCTTTATCAGAGGGTGGGCAGCTGGCAACTTCTCCACCCCCAAGCCATTAAACTCAGTGTATGCCTCTTTGACTGTACTGGTCACATGATGGTGGTAGGTAGTGTGGTGTGGTGACAGTCCCCTACTCAAGTGTTTCTAGATCAGTTGCTTGAAAAGGGCAACTGCCCTCCACTATGGTGGCTGGGCACCCAGCTTGATGCCACGCAAGAGATGCCCACTCCCTTCCACCTAGTGCCTCTACCAAGGTGCCTTTATATATGTCGGGCTTTTATACGTTAATTTTTATGTTATGCAAAGGGGAAGCAGACACAAAATCCTGGCTCTTTAGACACTCGCCTCCTCGCTTATAATCAGACTGTGGTCCTGAGTCCTCACCAGAAAATTCTTTATCCGGAATGATCCCCCAGTGACAAGTCAGGCTTATGCAACAAGAATTTCATACTTCTGAGAAAGTGGGTCAGAAAGTAAACACCAGAAATTACAAATTTATCCTACAGAACATCTCTAATATTATTGCAACCTTTTAAAAATAAGAGTGATGAACTATTATTTACTGTTTTCCTTAAAAAAAAAAAATTCTAGTTTTAGAATAGCTACAGATGTAGTTACAGATATACAGAAAAGTTATTTCCCTTTACATTCCTGGGGTACATCTGCCACAACTCAGGAGCCAATGTTCCTTACATCATTATGAACTTAAGTCCACACTTTATTCGGATTTCCCTGGTTTGTGCTTAACGTCCTGTTTCTGTTCCAAAAACCCATCTAGGACACCACATGGCTTTCAGTCCTCACTTCTCCTTAGGATCTTCTAGACTGCAACTGTTTCTCCTACTTGCCTTGTTTTTTTTGAAACAGTTTCATTCTGGCGCTCAGCTGGAGTACACTGGTAAGGTCTCACTCACTGCAACCTCCACCTCCCAGGTTCAAGCGATTCTCCTGCCTCAGCCTCCTGAGTAGCTGGGATTATAGGTGTGCACCACCACGCCTGGCTAATTTTTGTGTTTCCAGTAGATATGTTGGCCAGGCTGGTCTCAAACTCCTGACCTCAGGTGATCCGCTCACCTCGGCCTCCCAAAGTGCTGGGATTACAGACGTTGAGCCACCAACTCCAGACAACTTGCCTTGTTTTTAATGCCTTTGACAGATGTGAGGAATCCATGGGTCAGATGGTTTGTAAAATGTCCCTCAAGTTGGGGCTGTCTGCAGTTAGACTGAGCTGATGGGTTCTTGGGAGAAAGGCCACAGAGGAAAAGCACTGTCCTCCCCACATCCCAGTCTCAGGAGGACTCGCCCCTGCCCTTCCTCACGTGGCTGCAGTCAGGTTTCTCCACGGTCAATCTCCTCTTTCTCAACCCTGTTTCCATAGCGTACAAATGGGTAGGGAGTCACTGCATGCAGCTCACACTTGAGAGCTGGAATGACCACCTGCCTCCTCCAGGGAGGGGCATCTACGTCAATTAC